CCACTCTGCATGACTGGCTGGGACATACAGGGAGGTGCAGGGCTTCTTTCTGTCTGAGGATTACACCATGAACAAAGAATTTTGTCAGTCCAACATCTGGTTATTCCTGCTACTTTTATACTGGTCAATATCCTAAAATCCCCAAGCATTTCCCAATAAATAGAGGACACCATATGAAAACAACATAAAAAGAGAACTACAAGAAAAACAATGCTTAAGAACATTAGAGCAAGACAATCACAAAACAAAGTAGCATCATAATCTGTTACAAAGAAGGGAAAGCAAGTATCTTTTAAGAGACATTTAGAGCTTGCCACACTTTTCTTCTCTCAAACAACATGTGGCAGAGTGTGCCCAAGGGCAGGCCTGCTTTTGTGGTGTTCCTTGGGAAGCTTTGCTGGCTGTAGAATCGGCAATAATGCCTCCCTGGAAGAACTCAAGGGTTGACTGGAATAGGGGAAGGCTGTGAAGTCAATATTTTGCTCCCAAGGTGCCTGCTCTGCTGTGGGTGTGAAAGAAGCATAGCTTTTACTGTTGAAATGGAAGGGGATATGATCAGGGCATTAAGGCGACCAGGAGAGTTTAATTTTTTGCCAGGTTCTGATCCTGTATGAAACCGAACTGATCCACACAGCATCAAGGCACAACTGTGTGCACATTTGGAAGGGAAACAATTCCTGCCACTCACAGCCATGCTTGCTGGGAATTGTAGGGCTTTTTTTTTTTTCTCTTGAAATGTGCCTACAGTTGTATCATGGATATTTTGCACTTCTTTGTATTCAAAAGTGGCAGACCAGTGGTACATACAACATGAAAATTCAGATCTAGATTTTAAGCCAGGAAAATACAAGCCGACATTCAAAATGAAGGCTCATCAACGTGATGACAACGTGTCATCCTTCGAGCCCATGCAGTGCTAAACATGGCTAAATATCAGTACCTTTTTCAGGATAGGACAAATTCCATGGTCATTATTCCAGGGTCTGAACCTCCTAGCCCTCCAGCAGCAACTCAAAGCAAGAGGCAGCCATTTACTTTCACACCTGGATCCCATTTTCTATGGTAATTTCTCTGGAAGGGTTGAACTGTTCCTCTTAGCAGGTGTTCAACTCTCCCTTGTTACCTAAAGCAGGGGTAGGCAGCAAATGAGCTGTGGGTTTGCACATGGCTCCCGATGCCCCCAAATATTTTTGATATATTTTTAACCCCTCTTCACCAAAAATGGCATTCGCAGCAGCTACTGAGCAGCTAAAGTGTTAAATTTAGGTTCCTTGCAAGCAATGTTTGGCCCTTTGATTCCCCAGAGCTGCTACTGAGAGCCAATCTAAATTAATCACTGTGGTGCTTTTGGCAGAATACCAGCGATTTTGGCCCTTTCGGATGGAATCCCAAGTGCTGTAGCCACGAAAGGATCTAGTGGCAAAGCTGCCCCCTGCAATTCTATAAAGCAAGATGGGCAGAAGGTAGGTTAGACGATCTAGAGCAAGATCAGCCTACAGGTAGATCTCCAGTGAATCCCAAGGGTTTCTAACACTCAAGAGCATCAGAGTAACAACAAAGCTATCTCTTACTATTAAATCGGGTGGCTTAAAAGCTAGAAAGAAGAGTGGGGAGGTATGTAGGAAAGTGTGTGTGAGTGTGCTCCAGTGCTGATGCTGGAAACCCATTCCAGGTTTCAGCACATGCTCAGAGACACCCTTATTCTGCCATTCTTTGTGCATCTTCCTGAACCACTGTTTTGTACCTGGCAGATTTCAGGATTCTAGTCTAAAACAATATAGATTTTGCAAGCCTGGCAACCATTTATCACCACAAATACTATCTGCTACTATAGAGGCAACTGAAGCGAACCCAGGGAAGTTGCACCCTCCTCAGGGAAAAGGCCATCAGAAAATTACAGCACTTGGGAAACCTGCCTCCACCAGGAAGTTTAACTGCCAAGTAAATAACAACAGCCCACAATGCCTGATCACATGCCCCTTCTGTTTTCCAAGAGCCAGTAAGCGTGCGATTATACATGTGTTTAGACAGAAAAATGTCTTGCACCTGCCGAGGAGTTATAGGACTTCTCCTGTCTAAACATGAATAGGAAAATAGCATAAAAGAATGAAAATCAAAATGTACGTCTTTATTAGGACCAACTCAAACTCGACAAAGTTGTGCAAGCTTTTGAGTCATCTGAAACGCTTCCTCTTGGGGACAGGAGAAGAAAGAGGACATTCCTTCTGCTCCCCTTTAAGAGACTGGCCCAGGCAAGCCATGATGGCCCGAGGTTCAACAGCAGGACCAGCCTTCCCTCCCTACTGTGGCCTGAACAGAACCTCCATAGCTCTGGAGGTGCCTTGCCTTTTGGCATTCAGAATTCGGGGCAATCGCTTAGAAGAAGCCTCCCTACTCTCATGCGCTTCAGATTTCTTGGACCACAACTCCCGTAACTCCCAGTTGGTGAAGACCAATCCTACCACCCCTAGCAGCCTCATCGTCCCTTGTTTTTGGATTTTGGTTTAGAAACAGGGAGGATCCATCAACTTCTTTTCAGCCTTTGCATGAATGGCAGAAGAACCAAATGAATTCTGTTTGTTTTTTAATCAGGCCATAGTACAGTGAGGTAAGAAAGAACCAGCTGTTGCATTTTTTCTGCAGTTCACCTCCTTTATCAGCTGATACAACAACAGTATTTTTTGTTATGTGTTTTACACAAGCCATGATTTGTTTTAGACAATAGGTGCTTCCAGATAGTGGATTCCTCCTATAACCATCAGATCCCCCCGTCCCCTGAAATGTCATGAATGAAGCAAGAAATTACAGCTGTGGGGAGGTGGGGGGGCAATTTGGAAAGGGGGTCTGGGCTGCATGCACCCCATGAATAGGCTTTCCTGCTGCTTTGTTTCTTCCCTGCCAGAGCTGAGGAGTTTGCCCTCCGGAGCAGGGACTGCGATCCGCCATACAGCTCGGCCGAGGCTCCTAACCGGCAAAGCTGCCTGATCCGGCGTGGAATTCCTCAGCTCTGTCCGACAGATCAGATCCAGAGTGGAGGTGAAGGTGGCCATTTTAGACCCTTTCCAGGAGAATAACATTGCCAAGATCTGCTTTGCTGCGAAGCCCAACACGAAATGTAAGTGGCTCGTGGGAGTTAAATCCACTCTCTCCCTGTCGCGCATCCTGCAGAGTCGCCTTCCTCCTTTCCTGCGGGGAAATCACCTGCCCTGCCCATTGTTGATGGCGGTTACACAACGAAGCCTCAGCGGGCCGCGGGTGCCCCCCAGAACTGCTCTCCCCCAAGCAGCGTCTGCACAGGCGACTCTCAAGACCGACTGCTATTCGTGTGCCTGTGCGTGCATGCGCGCGGCGGGGCGGGGGGGGGGTCCTTCTTCTTGAAGGTCACATGAAGGGAAAGCGCCCTGAGCGCCCTGCGGTCACCGAGGGGAGGCGCTTGAAAGGCTGACCTCTCCCCCCGCAACAAATGCCCTGCACACAGCTCGGGGCTCCTCGCGGAGAGAGCAGCTAAGGTGCCCAAGCGCCGCCCGACCTAGGCAGCATCCCTCCATCTTGTGGTTGCCAGGTAGCAGCAGCCGGTCCTCCACGGAAGCGGGCAGCGCTGGGCGCGCAAAGGACGCGCTGCGCTCGCCCCCCGGCTTTCCCTGCCGTCTCACCTTGCTGGACCGGGTCCGAGGCAAGGCTCACACACGCATAACGCACACTCCTCTTCCGGGGGCGGGGAGGGGGAGCGGGAGCGGGAGGGGGCGCGGGGCACCGTCCGTAAAGAGCATCTCGCTAGCGGACGTCCCCAGTGCCTTTCTCCGCGCGGTCCGCATCCGGATGCCGCCCGCAGGAGGGCTGCGCTGGGCCCCGATTTCGCAGCCGCCCCCCTTGCACAAGCGCCCCGAGAAATCAAAACGTGGCAGACGCCTGTCGACGCATCCCTTGCGCCGCTTGGCAGTGGGGAGGCGCCGCGGGGGAAGATCCCCGCAGCCCAAAGCGCCGAGGAGCAAGAGTCCGCTCCCCGGTACATTGCGACTCCCTTGAGATTACATAACGGGGGGAGCCTTTTGTGGGGCTCGCCGGAGCCCTTGGAGATCCAAGGCGCCGCGCTCCCCCCGCCCTTCCCTTCTTCACTTACTACTCCGCCCCCACCAGCAATTGTCGTTTGGCAACGCAACGAAAGAGGGGAGGACGAGAGGGAGAGGAGCCTCGCTCGCTGCCCGGCTCAGCCCCGGGAGCGCTCAGCCTTCCCGTCCTGAGCTTCTTCCCGCCCCCTCCGCCTTCCGCCCCCAAATAACGCGTTAGGATTAGACCCGCTCGCTAAATCTGCCGCGCTGCGGCCACGGGGAAACCGCGCGCTTCCCGCAGCCAGCCCGGCTCCGTGCACGCACTGCGAGAGGCAGCGCGGGGGGGCCCTCCCGCCGCCCCCCTCCCGCGTTGACACACGCACACGCGTCCTAGCCTGGCTCACCTCCCCCCTCCCTCCCCCTAAATCTGCAGGAAGAAACCCCGAGCGGGCATCCAGCTCAGCATTACGGCCTTTCCTTTCCAAATCTGAGCCTAGCGTTGTATCCCCACCCAGAGACCTCGTCCGTCCAGACACATACATGTGCGGGCACACAGACACACACATCCACATATGCGCGGGCGCGCGGGCGCGCACACACTAATATGTAAATACGATTTTGGTGGGACCGCCTCTCCTCCCAATGGAGGTGACGGCGCAGGACAGGTCGTCTGCCCGTCACGGCGGCTTCCCGGGGTTTGTTGGCCAGGCGGGCTCAAGGCTCGGGAGCCCCTGCGGAGGGGCACAGGAAGATGGCAGCCTGCTGCCCCCTTCCTGGACGGTCTAAAGCAGCCCCCTTCCCTCGTGCCCGCGGCCAGGCTAGGGGAGGGGGGAGCGCCCCCGGACATCTGGTTTCCGGCAGCATCCTAATCGCGGTAATCATCACCAAAGTCTGTTAATAAAGGCGGAAAAATCGCCCAGGGGAGGCAGCGCAGCAGGACCCCCGTCTTACCTGCCCACGAAATTCTCCAGGACGGAGCTCTTGCCGGCGCTCTGCCCCCCAACCACGGCGATCTGGGGCAGGTCCAGGTTGGCGTTCTGGCCGATGGCGGCGAAGGCATCTTGGAGCCGGTTGACCAAGGGGATCAGGTCCTCCATCCCTCGGTTCCCCATGGCTGCAGAGGAGGTGGCGGGTGGATCTCACCTCTCCGGATCGGAAAGCTCCGCGGGGGCTTTCAGTCTAAGCGATCGACGGCTGCGCTGCGGCCCCCCGCCCCACCCCAGCTGTCATGGGTGTGGGTCCCTGCGTACCTGCGGCGGCGGGCCTCCCGACCACCCTTCCCAGCGGCGGGGGTCCGGGGTGCTCCTTTCCCTTCCCTGCCCCGCGCCCTGGTCCCCGGTCCCCTGCCTTCGCGTCTCTGCAGCGCGCTGCCCCCTGCGACTGCCGGCTGCAGGAGCTCCGCCAGCCACCTGGTTGCCAGCCGGACTGGGAGCGCGCGCTTCGCCCGCACCTGCCGCTACGGGGCAGCCGAGAGCCGCCGCCGGCTCGGAGAGCTTCATGGGAGATGTAGTTCCTGCCCTATTCCATTCCCTTCCCATCCTGCAAACCCCGACGGGGAATTTCGGGACTCCATGGATTTATGGGGCCCCGCGCTTGAGAGTGATTGATTGGTTTTTTATATGGGCACCCCACCTTTTTCTCCCTGGGTGATCTCCAGTTGGGCCATGGGTCCACATGGGATCACCAGGAGTGTGTCCATCCCGTTCCATTAAAAGTTTCTTGCCATGTCTCGTGCCAGAGGTGGACTCGGTCGGGCACTTGCCGAAGGCAACGCAACTCCCCTGGTGTTGCTTTTCCTCTTCTGCACTGCAACCAGTGTGGTGTTTGGAAATTCTGTTCAAGCTGCCACTACCAGTCCCCATTTTTGGAAATGCCACCAAATGCTGCCTGTAGTCTTTCGAGCCTGTCTTAAAACGAGCAGCACGAAGGACTAGAAACTTGACAAACAACCACAGCTATCCCACCCCTGCCCACCAAAAGCTGAGATTTCTTAACCAGCATGTAAAATCTGTGCTTTGATTGTAAAACCAAGGCATATACACCCATTTGTGCCCATACCTAGGTTACATCACATTTGTAAAAACTGCCAAGTGGCCCTGTTTATCACTGGATACATTCCTTGGCTATTCCTCTTCCCTCGGATTAGTACTGTCTGTCCTTGCTTTCAGTTCTAGCTCTGGTGTTATGCTGATTATTCCAGAGTGCAGCTATCCACAGTTTTATAACAAAACAGATCTCTTTTTTATGCAGCAAAGCAACATCCATCAGAGATGAGGAGTCTTGCTTTCCCTTTCCACCCCCTTTTTTGCTGGAAAAGCTCAGGAGGGATTTCCTTGCTTGGGCAAAACCATTGGCTAGCGAGGCTTGCCTATCAACCTTTGCCTGCCCAGCCCCTCAAACCACCTGGCAGGATTTTTCTGCTCTTTGCAAGATTGAAAATGACTTTAATAGCTTTTGGGAAGCAGGCCTCAAAGATGAGCCGCAAAGCGCATTCCATCAGCCACTTCAATTCATGCCATGGAGAAAAATGAAATTAGATGAATGCCAGACTGGAGGTCATCCCGGCAGACTGACCATATGCAGGAGCAGCTCTGGTGCTGACATTAAATGCAACCCCATCCCTGCCCCATCCTCCATACGTGTACAAGAAATACACTGTAGAATCAGATCAGAAATCCACCTAGTCCACATTTCCCCCTGAAACTCCGACAGCTTGCTTCATATAAATAAATAAAGCAGCTCTGGGGGTCCATCAGATCTTCCAAAAGGAGGATACCAAACAGAAACCTTTTCAGATGATCTTAAAATGACCGTGGTGAGAAGGAGCACTCACAATCTCCTGGAATCCAAATTTAAACAACTGCCCATGCCAAGATACCGCTAGTCACTGAGCTGTACTTTGCCTTGTTTTGCAAAGAGCATGCAAATCTGTGTTGACGTAGTGATGGTCAGGGTTTATTTTGTTCTGCGCTTCCACGAAGCTCTTCTTCTGCGCCTCACTGCTCTGATTTTGTTTGTGCCTCATCTGGTGGTGAGAGGCGAGCAGCCACAGGCGTGTGTGAGAATCTGAGTGGGCACAAAGCACCTGCACCATCTGTTGTCACGCACGGAAGCTGCAGGTGTTTGGTGAGATTCTAAATAAGGCATTGTGCTCTTGATGCGATCCTGCAGGAGAGCCATGCTGATCTGCATTTCCAGGTGTAGAAATGGAGTGGACCTTGTGATTCACCAGCACAGCCTTACCCAACCTGGGGCCCTCCAGATGTGTTAGACTACAACTCCCAGCATGCCCCAGTCCAACACATCTGGAGGGCCCTGGGTCAGGAGGGCTGGTCTCGCATTTCCTCCATGAAGGGATTTACGCAACACTCTGAAAGCAGCTCTTTCTTCTTTGTTTTGTTTTTCCTTTTGCCCTCCCAAAACATGTAATTTATGGCAGAGGGGGAGATCGGACAGGAAATAGACCATGGAAGGAAACAGAGCATGCAGTTATAGGACCTGCTTGCTATGAAACAGTGTCCTTAACACTTTGGAAAGTGGAAACCCCTTCCCAGCCAGACCTGCACTCAGCTTGTGGGAATGGCCAGAGACACCCACAAGGGCCAGAGACTGTCCACATCGGCTGTTTTGCTAGATTTGGTGCAGGCGCATTATTATAGCAAAGTCATCTTGAACGGGTATGCAGGGACACGTGGAACTGTGTCTGTCTAAACGGTGTGTGTGAGAGAGCAGAGCAAATATTTATGGGAAAAGGAAGCACCAATCCAGGCTTAACTCTACTGTGCAGCAAACTGAGGCAGCCGGGAAGGGCAGTTAATTGCTGGTTGTTTTTACATTTTTGCAAAAGAAAGGTGGAATCCCTCCCCCTCCCCCAGACCGTGTGTGTTACTGATCACTTATAAAGGCATCTTTTACAGACTCCATCTTGGCGGTCCCTTTGGGGGCTGCCGACATGCTGCGTGTATGTCAGAATAAGCAGCAAATGTTCTTTTGATTGTACAGCCCCAGCAGACTCCCCTTTTTCTCTCCTCAATCTGGCTTTTTGCTTGTCACCAGCATTTATTTAAAACCAAGCAAAGCCTCACTACTGTTATAATATTATTATCATCATTGATAAATTGCCCTTGTGCCCACTGGGTACTATATAAAATTTGGATGTGTGTGGAGTCGTTAAAAGAAAGCATGCCAGCGTGATTCTAACCAATTTCTCACTTAAAAGAAGCAATACAATACAATTAACTGACTCCATGTTTTCATTTTAGTTCTTGTTCTTGATTTCCTGCCCAGTCAAGTTCCCTCACTTTTTCCAGGTATAGGCCTGGAATATATAGCTGGCTATAAAATAACCACAACAGGTTCTCAGATCAGACATGGAACTATCCATAAATATGGGGAAAATCCAAGCAGCAAGAGTCCATGGATAGCGGCAAAGGAACTTGACAGCAGTTTGTGTTCCCAACTTTTAAGCCTGCCCTTGCAACAAGGAGCTTAAGGCAAAGTACCAGCTTGCAAGGGAGGACAGGCTGGGAGAAATGGACTGCCCCAGGGCCACCCAAAGAGTCTCATAGCTGCATAGGGCTTTTGAATGTGATCTTCTGGTTCCTGCTGAAGCATGAGAACCAAAACACCACGGTGACTCCTTTCCAAATTTGTAGAGAGGGTAAGAAACAGTAAGAAACTCGACCTGGGGCCCTCCAGATAGTTTGATGAGAGCTCCCATCAGCCCTCACCAGCATTGTCAGTGGTACAGTCAATGGGAGTTGTAGTCCAAATAATCTGGAGGACGCCAGGTCACCTGCCTCTGCAGTGGCCTGACGCAGCATGAAACAGCCTCTGTTGACTCAGCAGAATCCACCTCCCATCAGCTGTACCCAGTCAGTTTTGCTTGCATAGGCAATCTTATATCCAATGGCAGGATTCCTGTGTTGACTCACGTTCCTGTTGGACTTGGAGGACTTTGGCTCAAATGAGGTGGTCTTTGCATTTCAACAAACACCCACCGATCCTGAAAGTCAAAGAACTGCAGGCTGCCCACAAAGCATCCAACTTATGCGTGAGCTCAATGGATCTTCCGCAGATTGTCCATATGGCAGGTGGGCGGACCCAGTGATCTGCACAGAGGGCTTTATCTGGTTGAGTTGCATGGCAAATGGTTGTTTTTTTCTCCCTTCTCCCACCTTTTGGAGATGACTTGATGGCACGTAGCAACAATCAAACTAAAGCGATTGTGTTGTTCTGTTCTAATGGCTTATCAGTGGATGGTTGGAATAAAGATGCTGGACAGTGAACAGCTCATCTTGAAAAATAATTACGGCTTTCCTTAGAGTATATACAAGAGCCTATACAGCCTTACACTGAATCAGTCTTTGAGCCATCTGGCCTAGTATTGCGGACACTGACTGGCAGCGATGGCTCTCCAGAATTTTAGGCAGTGGTTTTTCCCTGCCTGACCTGGAGAAGCTGAGAACCTTGTGCATGCAAGGCAAGTGCTCCACAACTGCTTATTGCCCATCTCATATAAATAAGCTAAGATTCTAGTTCTTGTGGTTTTGGGTGAATTAAACAGGAATGTAGAAAGGTGCTTTACTGCAAGGCACACTAGTGGTGCCACGACCTGTAGAAAGCAATGGCTTTCCGGGGTTTTAGGCAGAGGTTTTCCTGGCCTTACCTAGAGATGCTGTGAGTTGAATGAATTTCGCCTATTGCATGGAAAGCAGGTGTTCTATCAGTGAGAATTTCTCAAGGGAAACTCAAGTCCCTGCAGCTTGGCAGGCCAAAGGCCCAGGTTATGCACCGCAGCCTACAATGACTGGCAGTAATTCTCCAAGGTTTGGGGCTGCCATCTTTCATGTTCCTGCTGCCACAATCATGCTTGCAACATTCTCTACTCTAACCAAGCCCCGCCCACCAAGCTACAACCCTGTCTCTCAAAAATTGTGCAGAGGGGTGATTCCTTCGGGCTGCAGATGTGACAGAAAACTGGGGAGGATATGCAAATTTTAGATACGCCCTGTAAAAACCGATCTGCAATTTTCTGATAGCACATCAGCAAGGAGATTCCCCTGTCTGAACAGTGTTCCGTTCTGCCCTAGTGGTGTGGAATTGTGCCTGTCTTTGCCGCTGCTCCCTGTATTGTGTTTAAATCCTGTTCTTTGGCTAAGCTTAAAAGAACACGAGTGAATTCGTTACGAAGTGGATTGGGCTTCTGAGTGGAATGGGGGGGGGGCCTGGAAATTGCCAAGAGGCTGTATACTGGGGGAAATGGTGCTTTGAAAATTGCCTTGTGCATTTTGCTGCTGCCTGTATTTATGTTCAGCCAGAAGGGGAATCTTATCTAGCTGTCCACACACACCCCAATATTAATGCCACCTTGTGATTTATTTATCCATCCTGTGGAAATAACCAGCGTTTTAGCCATCTGCATGGTGCTAAGCAGGGGAGAAGAGGACGTGAGGTGTGCCTGCATGTAGTTTCAGTCATGTGTTATAGTTCCAGGTGTGGATCTTCAGACAGATCTTTTGTAATGGTGACAAACTGGACCTGGATTTACACTGGATCAATGGCCAGAAAGGAAAGGAAATTCCCTTCCCTCTCCTTCCCACAACAGCCCCTTCAGTCCCCCCAAAATGGTCCAAAGAGAATTAGGAGCCCCTGCTGAATAGATTGAGCGGGTAGATCCCCCCTTTATTGGACAGAGGGACTTTCTGCAAGCAGAGTCCTTCCTCTTACATGAGGTCTCTTCTTGCAAGAAGCAGCTCTTGAATCTGACCCCAAAAGGCCTTGGTAGAGCCATTTCAGAATGCTGCCATATTCTCAGCTTCTATTTTACCAGCTTTTATAAGACCCAAGCACATGGTTCTCCTAAATCTTGGGGGTGGCAGTAATGGGCTGTGGCATTCCCATGACAGCAAAGAAGCTGGCAAAGGTCGCAGCTGCCGCACCTCCCCTCTCACTAGGAAGACAGGGACCATCTGCGACAGGTACTTAACATCTCCCGGAGTCAGAGAACAAAGCGCTGTGGCTGGCCATCTGGCCCTCCACCACCCTCTTCACTCTCCCTTTAGGTTGATTTGATTCTTCTGGCTCCAGCCCGAAGCAGATGGTAAGCTGCCCCCTTAAAACTCTCCCTAGATGAGCAAACCGAGAAAGCTCCCTTTGGTTTTGCTGGTGCATAAGCAGCAGCGACACAGCCCAGGTTTGTCCTGCAGCAAGATCAATCGTTCCAAGAAGAGATGGACAGGTGGCCTGTTTGGATGCTGAATTACTCAGTTTGACACAATCTTTATTTTAGAGGGATGAATTCCCTCTCCGTATCCATCTCCCCCACTCGCCCGTCCAAGAAGAGAGGGGCCTTTCCTTCCTGCCTCCTAAAATAAACAGGACGCAGGGAGAGATAGAGCTGGTATCTCATGGGTCTGAAAGGATATGATGCGTGTCCAACTGTCTCACTGCTCCACCAAGTCATTAGCTTAGGAGCTGATGGGACCAAAGGCAAGTGTGAAAACAGGAGATGAGTCAAGGGCTGGGTCACTGGCAAGTTGTTTGCAATATCATTAAATAAAATCCATGATCTTAAAAACAAAACCCATGCAATAAAACCCGTGGAGCAGGTTCCTTTTGCTTGCTGGCTGCCTCATAATACAAGTCCACTTATAGAATAGAGAATGAGTGGGCGTTGGGGGTCTACTTCGTGTGAGATTTACCTTAGGCTGGCAAATGTATTATTTATTTATTTATTTATTAAAATATTTTTATACCACCCCATTCGCCGAAGCCTCGGGGCGGCTTACAACAATTAAAATAATGATAATCATTAAATTAAAAAATATAAACATTAGATTAAAATACAAAAATACAATATAAGATAAGCCGCCCTGGCCAGATAAAATCCAATAATATTAACAGTTAAAATGCCACTTAAATAAAAAGGTCTTCGCCTGGCGCCGAAAAACAAATAACGACGGCGCCAGGCGGACCTCTCTGGGGAGCGCATTCCATAGATTGGGCGCCACCGCAGAGAAACATATGCATGTTGGGAGGAGGGGTGTACAGGCTAAGTTTAGAGGGGTAAATAACCATTACTGTATGTTTTGCAGATTAATTTTCTCTGATCTCAGTGTTTACTGTCTCTTCCCCACATATCCAAGTCTGTGTCCTTGAGAGCATGCACCTGATGGACACACGTTCCTTTTTTTGGGGGGGGGGGTGATGCTTTTATCTATTGTAGTACATCTGGTGGAGGTGGAACTGCAAATACGGAGATCAGAGGGAAACTAAATGCAGGAAGTACTGGCAGTGGCAATCACATTATCAACTGTGGCCATTCACAAAATACAGGCTGCTGATAATCCAGGCTTCCTGGCACTAGGTAGGTCAGTTAACCCAGGCAATTCGATAAACACTTCTTTATCACAGTTTAAGCTCTGGCAAAATAGTTATGCTATAATGAGTTCCAGAGAAGTAGTGTGTTAGTCTGTTAGGGCAAGACCACAAGAATTAGGGGGGACCTAAATCAAATCATGCCAGAACGGTTCCCTAGAAGTAAAAATGACAACATTGAGGCTGTTTGGACAAATTACAAAATGGCAAGAGTCACTGGAGAAGGCAATCATGCTGGAGCAAGGTGAAGGCCAGAGAAGAAAAGGGAGACCAAATAGGACATGGAGTGACCCCATGCAGGAAGCCACAGCCTTGAACTTAGAAGAGTTAGGCAGGGCCGTCATGGAGAGGACCTTCTGGAGGGCTTCCATTCACGGGGTCACCATCAGTCGGAGACCCCTTGGGGGCCTGTAGCAACCACCTACCCTGGCATTTCCTTTCACAGACTATAGTCCACTTCAAGAGCTGAACGTAGATGAGGCCTAAGGTACAAGCCTGTGGCGAAACATAGATCAAGCACAGGATAATCTGGAATGCCACCTCTGACCCCGGAGAGGTGTGCCTTCCCACCCCTCTTGCAGTGGGCACAGACCACCCTTGGAGCTGGCATTGGTACGCAAGACCCACCTTACTGCCAGTACGGAAGGAGAGTTCTGGAGTGTGGGGAGGGGAGAAGGGAGGCACCCCCATCCTGAGGGATCCTGGCAATCCTCCAGCTCATCTCCTCACAAGAAACCCTTAAGGCAGACCAAACGAGCCAGGCGTTTTGGATGACGGGGGAATGCCAAGGCAGTCCTTGCTTCTGGGTACCTCCCGGTCTCCATGGGATGCCTATGGTGCGCCAAACTCAAAGAGTTACAGGCAGATACAGTGGATGGTGCCCTTGGCTAACATATGGATTGCATTTTATCAATGATTTATGTATGTATGTATGTTTGTTTGTATGAATTCATTCTAGGTCTACCCTGCCCTTTTTTCCTTTCAAGGATCTCAGGGTGGCTTATGTAATTCTCCTCCTCCTCTTCTCAATCTTATTTTTTTCTTTAAAAAATCTGCAACTCCATGAAACCCATGTGACTCAGAAAAAGCCAATCTGCTGCAGAATCTACAGGCCACATGAACAGAAATCCGAACTCATCGGAATAGAGTGTTGATTTCACTGAGATACCAGATATGTCGAGAGAGAGCCTGTAGGGTGTAGTCAGAGTGTTGGAAGTCTGGGTTCTGGTCCCCACCTAGCCATGAAGCTCCCCGAGTGAATTTGGGCACCCACACTCAGCCTCACCTACCCAACAGGGTTGTAGTTGCAAGGAAAACTGCTTGGTTATGTTGTTGTTATGCACAAGAGGGAAAAAGGTGGGATGTAGATGTCACGTAATCATCCTCCTCCTCCTCCTCTTGGTAGCACTTGCTGCATCTGACGAAAGATTCATTTATGCTGGCAACATCTTTCAGAAGGCAGCCCTGCTTCATAACATGTAACCAGGCGTCATACCTGCATGCGTATATATAATAAGCGTGTGCGTGCAAAGAAAGAAAATGTACGTGTGCATGGCTGTATAAATACGTGATTCTGTTTCCTGCGTTCAGCGGTGTGCATGAGTGCATATACATGCGTGCACGCACGTATGTGTGCGCACGCGTGTAGGCATGTATGCATCTCCATATGCGGGGCGAATGCACTTCCTGCATCAGACGAAGTGGGCTATGTAGTCCCGGGAAATAACGCCGCTCGTCCCCGACGTGGCCCGGGACGCTCCCGGTCGGCTTTCCTTCCCCTTGTTTGGAGGGGGGGACGGGCGGAGGGACCGCGTTTCGGCCGCCCAGGGGTCCCCCGGCCCGCCGCGGGGCTCGCCCACAGCCGGCGCCCCTTCCGGCACCCCGCGCGGGGCTCGTGATCGCGAGGGCGGCGGCCCCGGGGCCGCGATGAAGGGGCGGCCGCAGGCGCGGCGCCGCCGCCGGGCGCTTCATTGCAAAGCCGCCGCCGCCGCCGACCCCGACGCGCCAGTGCGGGGTGCCGGAAGGGGCGCCGGCTGTGGGCGAGCCCC